TGAGTGATACCACGGCCTTACAGAAAAACCGGCGTTACACAACACTTACCTTCTGTTTCGCAGTGTGAGTGAGGTTACCAAGGTGATCTAAGTCTTTCCCCGCCCCCAGCCCCAATCCTCAATCCCCTATCCTTAAATCCCTAATAAACTACAAGAGGCAACGCATTTGTAGTTACTCCTTTCGTATTGCGAGTGTCCATGGGCGGCGCTGATTGCTTACCACCAGGTAAACCGCCTGCTCGGTTGCCGACCATTGACATAAAAAATACGAAGTGGCGAAAATCAATGTATGTGATGTGTATATATTATTTGTATTCAATGAATGTTTATACATAAAAACTTAAGAGCCGATTTAGAAATTATTTTACCATTGGAAAGCTACCTTTACTCTGACAATTCAGCCTGAGTAATTCGATATGTATATAATAATAGGGTATATTTGTTGCTGGTAACAAAAAAACTTTAAAACAAAGTCCAAGTTGACCATTCAATTTTATCGATAGGGAAATTTTTCAATAGAGAACAACATTTCTATAGCTTCCTTTAAGCCAAGAAGCCAGAAAGAGTTAAACTTGGAAAGTAATCTCAATCTATTCCAAATTACGTAATGTACCGACAAATATTTATTTCAGATGTTGAAACTCGATATGTTGTATTGGTTCATTCAGACAGCCGCAGGTCAACCTAACCCTTTTAGTCGAATTTCTTTATTACATTTTCAACTTTACCGTTTTGATACTAAAGTTAAAAATCAAATGATAAATTGTTAGGTTGGGGTAGTTTGACCTGCTGGCGTTTGTACATACATATAAATAAAGTTTGTCGAGAAAGCATTTCGGTTATTACGTTTATATTTTATGCTGCAAGGAAGGTAAATGAAGTTAATGTTTGAGTAATCAGACCGGTGTAGATTGCATTCCAATATTTTTAGTGGTGAGTATCTTGACTCCATTTATTATACTTTTTCTTATAATCAATCGGATCGCATGACCAAGGATTTTCAACAAATAGGTTCTTAGTGTTTACATTAATTTAATGAAAGCTTATGAGGGTGCTGGAGTTGTATAAAATTAATACAACTCTGCGCACCTTCTTACAGTCATGTATGAGGCAGTGGAGCACGGTGCTTTCCTACCCAGGATGTAAGCAAATCCAAAGGAGTGAAGAACCTGTAAGGATAGTGCGAGGAATATTCCAGGGTGATAGTCTGAGCCCACTGTGGTTCTGCTTGGCCTTGAATCCTCTCAGTACTTTACTTGAGGCTTCAGGGCTGGGCTATCGTTTGCGGAGAAAAGGTCACGTTATTTCCCACTTACTTTACATGGATGACCTCAAGTTGTTTGCACCAAACAAGAAGGAGCTGATGGTTATTATAATTATTGTTAAGAACAAGGCTTATAGACGGCGGGTGTTTCAAGGGACTTCACTCAGTGGGCGAGTAAAGTGAAGTGAATTTGATGATTTTTCTTCTACAAAAAAGACTTTACTTTTGCTTATAAACTTAAACATACCAGATCTCATAACAAATGTGATAATTACGGAACTAAGACCTGACTAAAACCTGGTTAAAAAGGTCGGCTTACACCATTTTGTAATCACAAGCCATGAAGATTCTTACATTTTGCATAAGTACCAGTTTGCATAAGTAGCCTGCCTCCCGAACCGGGATTATAATCGCATGCGACGCTCTAATTTATGGCTACTACAAACTTTCTAGATTAGGATAGAATTACTAATTTTAACGTGAGTGTAAAAAACCCTGTTTTAAGTTTGGGAAAACCATGCTTTGGCAGGAATGCGCCGGCTCGACCAGATTGATACCGCGGCCTCATGTACCTAAAAGAGACGTGAGTGAGTTTCTTTGGGTGGAGGAGTCTCTACACCCAAAATCTCATTTCCCCCATCCTCAAATCCCTAACAATTCACAAAAGGTCGACAAAGCACTTGTAACTTCTTAGGTGTTGCTTAACATCAGGTGATCCATCTGTTTTGCCGATCTTTCCCATTGAAAGCCTTCTTCGTTACCTCACCTCATTTTTCTTTGCTTTGTCTTCCATAGATGATAATTTCACCATAAATCTATATATACATCCATAAATATAATAAAAACTAGCTCTTACCCGCGGCGTCGCTCCCGTCATTTGTCTACCTACCCTAGTCTACTTACCCTACCTACCCTACTCTTCCTACCCTACTCTACCTACCCTACTCTACCTACCCTACTCTACATACCCTACTCTACCTACCCTACTCTACCTACCCTACTCTACCTACCCTATTCTACCTAACCTACTCTACCTACCCTACTGTACCTTCCCTACTCTACCTAACCTACTCTATCCTATGTCCTTCTCCTGGCTCTAAACTACCTCCCTGCCAATTTTCAGCTAAATCGGTTCAGCCGTTCTCGAGTTATAAGTGGTGTAACTAACACGACTTTCTTTTATATATATAGATTCTCGAATGTAGCATGTGAGATCATAATTAAAAGCTAGTTTTTTAATAATAGATTATTCATTATTAAATTAAAATGTATATAATTTTACCTTACCCTTTATCAGGAATAGCAAATACGGTAACGAAACCTTTTTGAAGTAGGTACGACTAATTTAAAATGTATCACAATTTAAGTATTCATTGATATTACTAACAGTATTTGAATATTATAATTTGTTTAAATTAATTTATTGAGTTCTGGTTGCTCGGTAATAATTAATTACCTACTTAGGCATTTGTACTGTGTTTCATACTTGTATATTATACTTCAGCTTGTAGCTTGTTTACGATTATAATATTTTGTAGGAGATAAGATATTCTGGAGAAAGTAGGTTAAGCAAACTATTTACCATCTAATATATTGAGAGTATTATTTTCAAGCTTGCTCGGACACTATTTAGAAATATTCTCAGTAAGAAATAAGTTGTTATTTTCTAACGTACAATCATTTCTTTCTCAATAAGTAACGAATAAGTATGGCATACAAATAATTATCCAATTTGGTCGAGTTTTTCTCGAGTAATGCGCTGACATACATTCGATGGTCCATATTGTTATACGGATAATTAATGGTTTGAAAAGTAAATATGTAGTAGATAATGTCGTAAGCCAGCAATATTGGAGAGATACCTTTGTTGACACGTTAACTGGGTACTTCACAACCAGATAAATTACGTACCCATGTAGTCTTCTTTGTTATTACGTACCCATACTCGTATCGTAGAGTCATTGAATGGAAGTTTGATTGTTTTTTATATTTTATTGTATTAAAAGTGGAAACAATTATTTTGAACCAAATAAACTACTAATAATTAAATTTGTATCTAAATACAAATTTCGCTTTATTACATAGTTATTGTATAATTAAAACGAACTTAAAATAAACTACAAGGTTCTTTGTATCAGAGTAACATTATATCACACTGCAATAACCCCTTCCCTTGCAGTCTAATAAAAAAGGAAACCTATAAAACGAGAATAGTTGGAAAATTCATTTTTAAAAAGTGTACCAGATCGCGTGCACTCGCCGTTTCAGTTTTAATGAGCCCCACAAGCAACAGTGAAGGTGACATAAAAATTATTGAAAGCCATTAAGTACGTGTTGTACATTTTTGTGGCTACTTTTTATTATACATAACGGTCTATTACTCTTCCTGTCAAATTAAATAAAGTTTTAGAAAAAATGTTTGTTAAAGATTTTGTTAGTACCTGTCTATTTTTATATGTAGTAATTACTTTTTAAACTTTAATTCCTTCTTTAAAAAGTCTTAATCAAACATTTACAAGATACACATTAGATATACAGACCTTTTCCAGTCGTTAACAATTCATATCGGCAGCACAGCACTTCACTAGAGCGGCCCTTATAAGGTTAATGACCAACCGAAGAGGGAAGACGAAATAAAAAATTACGGTTACGAGAGCTATCATTAAAATCCCTTACCCAGGAATTCGCTAACCTCGGAATATGTTAGTAGCAACTTATTTTATGTTCGACTTAAACACCCGAAAGTTGCCCACTTCTTAAACCAAGATATATTCGAGACTAAAAGCGCTCAAGTTCTAAAATAATGTTTGAATGTCCTTGATATCGATCATAACGTTACAGAGGTACATGAATCCACGTAGTTACATAAACAAAGTAGGTACACCACACAACAGCGATAAGTATCGTGTATGCGAAATGAATTCTAATGATACCTATTTGCGGCGGTGTAAAGGTGCTTCGAGCTCGAGAAAATTGTTCGTTCGTCAGATAACAGTCGTCGTGTGACACCTTCGGACGTCTCCGGTGACAAATTTACATTCGTGTCGCGAAGTACCCCGAAACTACACGCCGTAGTGAGATGTTGGCGCTCGTACCGCGGCCTGGGACCGCCACGCGCCGCCGCCGCCCAACGGAGCGCAGGTGTCGTCAGCCTCTCCGGGCTCGGACCGACGACAAACATGAAATATAGAACTTCCAGGACACCTCGTGCATGATATATGACGCTAGTGACGGCTACGTTCAAACAATTCCTAAACATGCTTTACAATTCCTTTGATATTTCATACTTCTTTCAATCTTGCATTTTGCATATAATATTATAAATGTTCAGGTATTGGAGTAAAACAACAAATAAAATATTATTGTAACAATATATTTTATATACAAAGTAGCTTTATAATACAAGGTAAATAACTACGAAGAGCCCCAGCGCGGGGTGCGAGCTAACCCCGGCGCTGCGCTTGAGCGCCTCGAGTTCGCTGACGTCCGGGCTCTCATCAGAGTCGCCCACCTCGTTGTATTGCATCTCCTCGAACTTACCGGACAAAGCTGAAACAGAACACTCGCTCAGAAACACTCCCAAAATCCCCCGAGGGCAGGTCGGACGCCATTTTCGAAAATATCAAGTTACTCGACATAACCATTAACTTGTGCCTCTAAACGATTTCTAAGTATTTCTTATCACAGCAACAAAAACAAAACTCGCAACTTCGTACTTTCGTACTTGTATACTTACAATACAATTTTATTGTCCCGTCCGTATCTCCGAGGGAATTCTTTGATATGCAACTGTATGTGCCAAAAGTGTTTCTACCAACTTTTTTAATCTTCAGCCTCATATCCACTTCGTATCCTCTCTCTATGGCTGTGATCTCGAACCTTTTGTCCGCTAAAAATATCCAATAATATTTTAATATTTCCTATTAATAGGATGGAACTCATCAATCTCCAATTATGTATGATACTTACACTGTGATATGATTTGGTCATTTATCGTCCAATAATTAATAGATCTAGGGAAAGCTTCTGAATGGCAGTCCAAATGTACAGTATCGCCTTCTTTCGCTCCCACTAATTGGTTTTGTATAGTCATTATCGGTGGGACTGTAACACAAAAGAAATAATTCCTTTAACTTATAAAATGGAGCCGTGCCATATCCTAGTGAACAAGTTAATATAGGGTCTCGCGTAAGTCGGTTGACGTAATTTAGTTCAAATTAGCTTAGTTGCGGTTTAAGATGCAGCTCTAATGCTGGCGACACACGTTTCCGCTCTTTGGGAGGCGACCGCACGTGTGTGTCTAGCCTATAGATTTATCTACATTTAGTATTTAATCTCTTTAAGTCCAGTCTTTAGAGTACTCTATAAAATGATGTAGATTTCAGTTGCGGTCGTAATATCAAGTTTTCCAATCTCAAAGGCATTTTATAAAGCGATTGAAGTTGGCTTAGACCGTGCGACAGACAAAAGCCCGCCGACGGCGATATGGACCGGCAGCGGTCCTGAACTATTTATTTCAATGAATTTTATATAAAAAAAGAACGTTTTGTCGGCACCGAACCAACTTTGTGTGTTCCAGTGAAATAATAATTACTACACAGAACAGGATTACTACGTGCTGCTAATGCAAATCTTCTAATTAAAATAAAACGATTTTAACGAAATGTATAAAGTTAGTTACTTCGACATTTTAGAAACTTGCGAAGTCAAAACTTAAGGACATTCTTGTATGAACGAAGCCAATCGAGGCTATACATATGTATGTTAAAGTAATTTCTATAAAATCATGTAGAGAATAATACTGGGTACCTAAGCTATTGAGTAAGGGATATAATATGGGGACTTACAATGCACAACGAGCATAACTCGTTTGCTGACAGACGGCGGAACTCCATTGCTAGCTATACATAAGTAGGCTCCCATATGAAGTCTTGATACTTTGACCAGCTGTAGCACTGCGCCATTTACTGACGAATCTGGACAAAAAGAAAACATGTTAATGTACAATTAATTTTGTAGTTTCTTTGGTCAAAAATAAGTTATTTTGAATTTTCAACAGAATTAATTATTAAAAATATAAGTAATCCTACTTTCATTCATTGATTTGAAGATATACATTAATTTAAGATTTTTCCTAGTTTCAAGTATAACTAGTTGTCGTAAAAATATTATGACATTGCGATTTCATATATAAAACCATGGAAAAGTATCGTTTTCGATATTTCAATAAAAGTATTGTATAAGAACAAATTCGAAACTACTGGATTATGGAATAACATGATAGCGCAAAAATTGACGAAATCTTTATCGAATTATACCTAATAATTTATCAAACGAAAACCTACACAGAATTTTAATGATATACGTTATATTTTAATTGTGTTTCGGCCTATGTTAGGAAAAATGTCTTAATATTTTCATGTCATATCGACATCGATGTTATAATACGAGCTACCTCCCTCACTGTGTGTCGTTCTCTCTTGAGATTTATTAGTTATGGAGATACATTTTACTGTATCGCTATTTATCAATAAGCAACCGCTCCTTTTTTACCCAAAAGGTAAGCTCAGATGTCTAGTATTCGCCAAATATGTATGTCATTGTTGATTTATTTATACAGAGAATTATTTAAAGCTATACACCGTGTAGAAAAGTCGACAATAAAATGTCAACAATATGTAATATGAGATGTAATTAGTTTCTAGGCATTTATATTGAAGTACACTTTTTTATTATAACCCTATAATTTCCAATCACTGCCAAGATCAAGCAAAACAATCAGTTAAACAATCAAGTCTGATGCGTCGACAGAATGTGATATCAAGAACACAACTACAAAAAACTCAATAACTCTTTGCCCAATTTAAAATTTAATATGAACCAAAGATGAGTGCCTAGAGTAAAATCCTTCCTACATACGGCACATCTCTGGCAAGTTGAGATTATGTATGATCCGACCAACCGTTGGAGAGTACACACGTACCTTGTTTACAACATGTTGTGTGGATGTTAAAACGTATTTACTTTGTCTTAGTTAGATTATTACCTAGATAAAACGTTACGTAACTTAGAATAAACTTTCTGTAACATTGGACTTACGTAGTCATCTTACAAAACAATTTGATAGGTTTTAAGTCTTTCTTGGAAGAAACTCGGACGTGCAGTTCGGTTTGATTGAACTTTTACATGTAGTTCAAATAATCTCTTAAATGGGACTATTATTTGAGTAATCGTTTGTGTAAAAACTTCGAAAAACTGTCATAAATCTTTGTTACTTAATTAAATTTAAACATTAAGTTAATTAGTATGATAACCGGCTTCCAGTCACTGTTTAATGGAGAATTTGACTAGTATAATGCTACGCGCAGAAGATATTCATGAGTCATGAGGACTATTGCGGCGAACGTCGCGTTTTACAGCCGACTGATCAGTTATCGGTAGGTAGCCCATAGCCAGGCTCGAAACTACTCGAGTTACTTGTCAAACAGGAACATGAGTAAGCAGTTACAGTTTAGTAACGTAATTATTTTAATATGTGTATTTAATAAAAAAGTTAAAACATCTTAATTTTTCTTCCTTCGAATAAATTGAGGCGCATAGTTGTATATTCCAATGTAGTAACAACTACTTTTCCTATATTATAATCATTACCGTTGTTATCATCGTAATTTGGCCGAGTTTGCGGGACAAGTGCAGTAATGTGCCGCGGTTTTGGCCTGAAGCAGAAGGAACGTTGTGGTTTTTAATCTCTCCCTTTGCCCCCCTCAGGGAAGAAGTCATTTGATGATTTGCCTTCTTCAAAAACAGGTGTTATTATACTTTCTCGTATTCATAGCCTTATAATTAAAAATATGCATAACACCAATGATATTATAAGATAAATGGTGTAGATAGGTTACCTAAATAAAATTTGATTTTCATAAACGACACACTGATACACACATGAAAAACAACACATATGTTACCTTATGTTACCTATCTACACCTTTTTAATTATAATATCATTGCATAACACAAATTTTTAAAGTATTAAACTGTACTTTGTATCACTGTATTCCTAATGAATTTCCTCTCTCAGATTAAAGTTCTATATCTATTTTCAATGTTTATTGCTCTTTTGCTATTACTTTTGCTTGCTAAATTCAAGTTTATCAGAGTTCCTGGTTTGGAATCAACGATCAAAATAATGTTTATCTGTTTTCAGATTGTTTGTTTCACGTAACTTGAATATACACCAGGTGTTTTCCTGTAATAATAATTTTAGCCAACTGTAATTCTACAAGGGTGTATGACTTACTTTATATTATTATAACTAAATAAGTTATTTTTTCTAAACGAATTGAAAGTTTGTCATCTCTAGAAATATAGATACATAAACTGTCAGTGAAGTCAAAAAGTCATTTGTGTTTTCAACATGACAACATCTATATTTACTTTTTAATTCAGAAGAAGATAATACTAAAACTTTCACGAGGTCGTAAACCTCATGGACATTTGTTATACTTAAAAATCTATGCCCAGTTGAATAAAAGATAATCAGTATCGTTGCACGGTGCTTAGTCAAGTGGTTGTAAGCGCAATGGGCAATAATGATAAGAATTCTTGTGCACTAGAACGGGGTTATTTTATTTTGGTCGTGTATATCATCGGTTTGTCTGCTATTGCAATAGCGGAATGTATTCAATAATATCTTATATTATAGGTGTGAGCGAGCCATGCTTCGGCACGAATGGGTCGGCTCGAACGAAGTGATTCAGCGGCCTCACAGAAAATCGGCGTCAAACAACCACAGGGTTGTGTTTCGCCGTGTGATTGAGGTTACCGCAGGCCCAATCCTTCCCCTCCTCCAATCCCTAAATTCCCAAATCCTCAAAAGTTCAGCAACGCACTCGCAACTCCTCTGTTGTTTCGGGTATCCATAGGCAACACTGGTTGCTTACCATCAGTTACCTAATCCGTGTGATCATTTGCCGGCCAAATTAATAAAAAAATAACTTACTGTGTGTATCGCTGAAGTTGCTGGTCGGCAACAAATCGCCAGCTTCTTTTCTCCAGACTACAGTTGGAGTGGGGACTCCATGCGCTGCACACCGCAGCGTCACGTTGGCTCCCTCCCTGGCCACTTGGTCACTACTCGTCGGGTAGTCCAAAATGTCCGGAGGAACTGCGCAAATCCGTAGCGGTTTTTCATATCTAAGCGAATAGTTTTAACAAATAGAATCTAGTATTGATATTGGAGAGGTCAATACTTTAGAACTGTCTCATTTAATTTGGTTCAAAACCTAGCGAGTAATGTAGCTTTTGTAAGTTACATGTGACTTCAAGTTTATTTTAGACACAATTGAAAAAAAGGTGAAGGAAAATATTATGAGGAAACCTGGAATTTAAAAATTCTAATTATAAGTTTAAAATCACCAATCCGTTTTGAGCAAGCGTGTCTCATTGAGGTTTAAATATTCTCCATGTGAGAAGAGATCTTTGCTCAACATCAGGCAATGATATACTGACGATATTAATAACGATGATTTCGATGATAATGAAGACGATGTTGTAGGAATGTCCAAATTAAAGTTTATTAAAAGTATCAAACACGTGAATACGAAAAAGACTTAAATGCTTGATGATTTGCGGTATAAATAAGGCGACTATTAGAAACAATGGAAATAGTTAAATAGAATAAATTTATAACTATTACACTTCTTATAAAAATAATAATTAATATAAATTTAGGTAACCACATAATTCACAAGAAATAAATTTAAATAACAATCACAATCGCAAATTCCTATTTCAAATTGTTATTGTTTTGTTAATATGATTCTCGGATAAAATTGGAGAACATAAATGAATAGAAAAGTAGATTTTATGTAAACTTTATTTCGAATTCACCTTACGATATGAATTCATTATTTTATTATGAAGTTTAGTAGGCATACAGTTTTGGTACACAAATTGTTTATACCTACTACACGCTCAAATGCTTGTGTAAACTTACAAATTAACATCAAATAAATTACCATCGGCATTCAAATTGCCTCGTTGTTTATTTCACGGGAAAAATGTAGCTGATGGCTTGTTTTGGAAATGAATTTATCAGCAGTATTTTCAACTTGTTTTTTTACTTCCTACGTTTCTAATTGTTACTGGATATTGTTGTATGTATATTAGTCTGAGTCCGTGGTTCCAAATGAAGAATGGGATAGAATTTTCGTTTTTGGAATGGATCTGGGTAGATTACAGTCACAGATTCGTCCTGATGAAAATATTTCTTTTCGTGATTACTTTGTATTTCATGTATTAACTTCACATTTTGAGCCCAGTCTGAATGCTTAGTGCGAGTTTGCTTTAAGTTAAGACATTAAGTACACGTACATGTTTATGACGTTCGGAGCTCTGATTGGCCTGTTACAAGTTAACCAACCAATTAAAGGGCTAAAACATGGTATGTTTCGGCCGCATTAACGTAAACATAATTCGCACTCAGCAATCTGGGTAAAAAAAACTGACAATATATTTTTCTATAAATGTAAAAGAACGGGACAGATAAATCCCTACACATTTATGTGGATGCCCATAGTTATATATGACAAGTGCAACGAGTAGCCTGCACGGACCATTGGCTCGATGTACATACAAACCTATTGTCCGAACTCACAATAAATTTCTGAGTTCTCACTCAGCTAGCGTTAGATACGAAATATAGATATTCAATCAAAACTGAGTTGTATGTATATACACATTAAGCACAAGTTAGGAGTAATAACAAATACCTAGATGTACTACTAATGGACAAAGCGAGTATGTGTGTGTTGGTAATCATTGGGCGAGCTAAGCTAACTCTATCAAAGCAGAGAACATTCAGTTGTTCTGAAGCTTTGTTGTGGGCAAAACAAATTAGCAGCTTATATACAATACATACATACATACTAGAACCACTACTATTGTAATAAGAAGGGATTACTATATTATGTAACTATATGTTGAATTTAAATGTTTACGTATGACGAAAGAAAAATATGATTGTGCCATTTTCAAGCCTTCCCCGTGTGAGAAGAGGCCTGTGCTCAGTAGTTGGCACTTTAGGCTGATGATGTGTGTGTTGTATGAGATTTTACAAATAAGAATGCTTTAAATGAAAGGGTAAAAGCGTGCCGTCGCGTTTCAGCACTGTGTACTGAGCGGTGACATAGGACTCACTTTTATACTTAAAGTAGTTTTAACTAACTATTGTCTTGTACCTAATGCGACTAAATAAGAATTGCTTTATTGACGGACTTATATAGATTTTTTATTTTTACGTCCTGCCCTTACTGTCAATGTATAATCTCTACTGATATTCCTATTTTACATTAGGTTCATTTTTCTAATAGTCGAGAAACAACATGAACAGAACCAAATAATGAACATGTAGATATTTTTTAAGAAAGCTTCAAAAGTATTTCGGAATTATTCTGGACTCAAAATAATAGATGATAAATGTTAAAACACCAATTTGTTTTAAACAAAGTGTTAACAATACTCCTTTGTCTGATATACATATAGGTATATAATTATACATATATAGTTTAATTATACTACATATTATGTTTATATAGGAAAACTAAATGTACCTTACCTACTACATCTAAATAGGCTGTTTGGCTCTTCATAGGGTCAGTGTTTAGCTGGCACATGTACCAGCCTCTGTCCGACTGCCGGACGTCGTGTATATGTAGGAACCACACCCGCCGGTCGCTGTGGTTGACGGCGATCCGGTGGTTCTTTGTGATCACGTGGGTTGCTATCGTCAGGATAGTCTGCGTGTCCACGCGTAGCCACGCCACCTAGAGGACAGGTAGAAATCTTATAGGTAAATTATAAAAGAATACAATTTGTACTGAGAACAGAGGATGCTAAAAAGTTTAAATAATATGGTGCTTTTTTGCTTTTTTTTCACTTGAAAATCATGTAATGGCTTCTCCCGCCCAGGGTAAGGCGACAGACTCTTACTGACTAAAAACGCCCCCGTTCCTTCTCCCTCTCTGGGCTGAGGTCGCGGTGCCTCATTGCAAAATAATATGGTGTTGGGCTAAACATTTTAACACGTTAGACGCCATAGGGCCACGCTAACGCAGGTTTGCCCTCAACAGTTGTCTGTCGACAGTCAATGACTTCAGCCAATGTGGTACTGGCTATTGAGTGTTTTATTTGGAAGGAGTTAAATACACAAAGACATTTGATGATTTCCCCCCTCAAAAAATAATAATAGATATATAGTTATGTATACAATAGTTTACATATATAGTTTACGTAGTACGTAACGTTTAGTACGTACGTAGTAACGGATTCAACGATTGCTATAAAATTCTGTATGTATATGGTAGGTTTCGGGCATCAGAATTCGATTTCACTGGGTTTCATTTTCAGAAAAGTATCGGGTAAATCTCAGTTATCCAGGTTATGTATTTAGTAAAAAAAACAGAATGCTATTTATTTTTATTAATATTTTTACTGGTATTGTGATAAGGCCGATATTAGTGTAAGTTCTTTTGAGTACCTACTTAATTTTATTTAACCGCAGTTTAAAATCGAGATTGTCTTCATTGGTTGCAATTCAAAACGTTTCATTTTTAAAATTAATTTAAATTGTACGTCTTTAAGATACTTACTTAAATATAAATTAGTAAAGTAAAACTCCTGCTATAGAAAATATTGTTTTGCAATTAAAAATAATATGATATCTCAATCAGAATTACAAAATTGTAATACAACGAAAATTTAAAATGTGAATGTCGATTGAATTCGGGAAGTATGCACGGTACTTATAATGATACAGTATAATTCGTGAAATTTGCATTAATTCCGTACTTGGAAATGAATAATTAATATTCAGAGTTAATAAAATATCATAAAATCGACAACTGAATGATGATTTACGTTACTGTTGTATTTAAAAAGTTTTTGTAAGTTTACGTAAAATTGGACTGGCTCATTGGTCAAGCGGCACGATAGCCGAACAAAGGGTCCTTCACAATCCAATCAGAACAATCCTTTCGTTGAGTAAAGATTCCTGTATTGTGGTGGGATCTGGTACAGGATATTAGATTTCACTCAATGAATCTAATGATGACATAAGAATAGAAAGGCAAGTGTCATCAAGATAGGGTGTGTGTGAAAGTGTTTGTACTATGAATTGAATTGGATACGATGAATATTTTGTGCATATTTTGTTCATGGTTATGATACTTTTGTTCCATTTTTCAATTTTTTTTGTTATATTTATCTGATTGCCTAAATTTTGGTTGTATTATACAATGGTTATTAATTCTTAAATTGTCATATACAGTTGATTAAGAATAAGCTTAAGAAATACTTACCCTGTAAGAGCCGAGATCATTGACGACACAAGTGAACACTGCTTCCCTTCCCAAAGATACAGTCAAGTTGTTTAGGCTATCTTCGAATCTTGGAACTTCTGGAACAACACAATTTTTTCATTATAATATAACATATTGTTTAATTCACTTATACACTAGAGAAAAGTGCTATTGTTTATTCTATTCCCTAATATATAGTACGTACCCAAAATTTAATTAAATACAACTAAATAAAATGTCAACTTCAGTCTAGATTTCTTTCTTAACGTCTGGAATGCTTAAATTAAATACTTCCATTGAAATAAATCAAGAAAAACCTACTAAGGGTCCCGGTGAAATAACAATATGTGTACCTAAACATAATAATAAGGTTTCTTTTTTATTCTAAATTCGTCATATTACGACTAAAGTGACGAAGAATGTATCATTGTTCTTGTTTATATCACAATTAATATTGTTAATGATTTAACTTGACTTGTAAGAAACGCACAATTTGTAGGTAAGATATATTTTATAAAAACTATAGCTACGCGGACTCGCCTGCTCCTCGGCTCCATTTGATCGTAGCGTGATGATTTATAGCGTATTAGCACTCAGGGACATTGTAGCTATCTATCAGTGGAAGAGTTTTGGCAAACATATCGACCGGCGTACATATAGAGTTATATACTTACAAATTTTACCTCTTTATAATATTAGTATAGATAATAACAATGAAAACAATTTAATATTTCACCGAGAACTCTACATCTCTTCTATAAATGTGTTTTGTGTAGATAGTCAATGTACCTGTATAATAAAATTAATAGTACCTTCGGAGCTCTTAACGGTATACTTAACAATTCAGATTTGTACAGAAATTACTTAAGTACTTCCAATCTCATTTACGAAGAGAAATGTTGGTAATAGGACTTTATTTGTTTATTTAATTGTACATGTGTATGTATTTTATAAAAAAGTATGCTGATTTGTAGATAGAAAATAATATTTATTTTGATAAATAAACAATATAGCGTATTGTTAAAAGGGTTCGTAACCTGGCAAGTACCAATATGACTTCTACTGAGGTATAACATATAAATGTACAAATACGCTATTAAACCACTGACATGTGACACTGACATGAAGGATAGGATCGAGGAGAAACTTGAAATTAGAATTTATATAATTTTATAACATAACCTTTCATAAATTTAACCATCCAATGGATAAATGTAGGTTTGTTGTTAACTTACAAAATTGTGTGTTTATAACAATTATCTTTAAGAAAGATAAATACCAATACAAATGTACGATTACATCTAAAATTATTGTAAGTATGTAGATACTACAACAGTAATAACGCAACAATTCTGAATAGCTGAACTACATAGCTGTTAGGAGAGCATCTAATTGTTCTAATAATGAATAGTATCAGTTTCAATTGATATCCAATACCAATTGACTAATTGCTATTGTTGTCATAACATGAGATGACGTCACAGAGTCATGTTTGTTTTTTTCCTAGACATGACAAAGTTATACTGGTACTACTATCTATATTCTATATTAAATGCTTATGACAATATGATAAAGGTCAAGAGTTTGTTTGAACGCGTTGTATAACTGAGCCAATAGACCACCACAGACGGCCATCTAGGACCGATGTTTAGCCGGGGTTGCGGAGTAAGCGCAATGAGGCACTTAGGCCTCGGACTAGAACAGGAGAAGAAACGGGAAAGTTTTTGGCCAGAAGGAATATGACAGTCCCTCCCACCCCGTCTTGGGCGGGACAAGCCATTTGATGGTTTTCCAATCTCAAAAAAAGCGGGGGTATTACTAGTTCGAAAATTTGGTATAATTTATTTGAAGGGCATTGTATCTTAGAGCCCACACCGTCGAGTTTGAATTTAATAAAAATGTTTCTGCTAGATAGTTCTTTTATTGTCAACAAGGGCTATATAACATAAATTCGATCAACTTAGCAGTCAGTGAATTGAGCCAGATTAAACAAACATATTATTATGGAAGTCGAAGGTGCTCGCAGATTAAGGTTTAAGAAAGAAGTTCATTCAATAATCAATGTTATTTTGACTGAGTCATATGTATTTTCGATTTGAGACCACGTCTAGGCAAACGTTGTGTAGGGCGCCCTCCAGCTAGGTGGACTGACGCTATCCGCAGGGTGGCTGGCAGTGGTTGGATGAGAAGAGCTGAACAAAGAGCTTAGTGGCATGCAATTGGGGAGGCCTATGTCCAGCACTGGACGGATTCAGGCTGATGATGATGATATTTTTTCTAAGATTATTTTGGCACCAATAACATGTGAACTTAAAATGTCTGATGTTTGTTTACAATATAAGTTTGAAATAACAAATCCGTTGTTATCAAGCGTTGTGATATGTATGCTGCATTCTTCTCCGCGTGAGAAGAGGCTTTTGCTTAACAGTGAATATTTATAGGCTCTATAGGTACAGCCATGTTATAATCAAAGTAGACGAGACTATTTACAAAAACTTCATTGATTCTGAAGAAAATAAATATAGTAAGGATGAATACTGATTAATCGGAACTCGTATGATATGACTGGAGATCTTAGCTACTTACTGTGAAACCTTTAGATATATTTATACCTCTTTGATGTGTGTAAGAAGGTACGTCTCTATTGGATATTAGTCGTGTTAGTGGAGATTTATCTAATTCTATGAACTCTATTATAAGTGCACTATGAAGTCTCGTGGTTTGTATATCTATTTATACTAATTTTACATATATATACTAAGCTTTGTTTGACTAAACGATTGACGCAATGTCTGCATAGGCAAACCGGCTATCGTGCATCATGTGGACTGAGAAGAAAGAAGAGTCTACAAATTGTGAGTTTGTAAACACGTCCAAGAAAAAACGAAAAATGCTAGTTTTTTTAAAAACGTTTTGAATTGTGAGAACAACAAATAAGATTTTAAGTTGACAATATTATTATAAAAAATTAAAATAATAATAGAAAAAATATATAATATAAAAATAAATACTGAGCAATACTGACTGTATCGTACCAGTGTCTGCGTTTTCTTTACGTAGGAGAGCAGTAACTTTAGTAAATGAATTATTGAACAATAAAAAAACATGAAAAATTTATTTTAAAGTAATGTAATTAATTAATATTAATACAGTACATATTTTCGAAACTTTCAACCCTACTTACGAGGAAGATTTTCAGAGAAAATACATTTCGCATTTATGTAGTATATCAGAATTAAAATGAAAAATTTTCAGAAAAGGTCACATAATAAAAGCAAACTTCATAATTATCGTTGTTATGAAACATAACTTAAACTGTTACAGGAAGCTTGGCTGTAATAAAACAAAAAGAATAAACGGATAATAGTTGTTTATTCACTAATTACCAAGTGAAAAACTTACGTATTTACCAAACAGTTATTTTTAACCCATCGATACGCTTAGCTGACCTCGGCAGCAGGGTCGAACTAATGAATCTACTTTTATAAAAACAGATTATTTACTGCCTTCAAACTAGCAGACGGATAAAGAACAGCTTACTTACGAAGCGATTGGGGTACGAGTATACTTCCTTTTTTGTTTGTGTGTGTAGCTCTGGTAAGTCATTTTACTTTTTGACTTTTATAATCTGTGCTAATCGTACCTATTACTTGTTTTGAATGTACTATTGGTGTAATGGCTGAACGACTGCTACGCTACGTATCGCGGGTTTTGATACCTGCACAGAATTGCGTGATATACAAATTTTTGTTTCGGGTCGTGTTCTAATGTGTACTTGAACTTTTATGTTTGTAAATGCACTAACGATACAAGAAAAAGCCTAGTGTAGGGGAATTATGTTTTGTAATATTAAAAAAATGTGTCTTCTTATGTAAATCTATACCATCTTATCTATGCCTAACTTTAGATTGAATCGCTTACATCAAATGCTCTCATTACACCAATAACTTTAATTAATAATTGCAAAATTTTATTATCAACGATTAGTATAACAGCAGTTTTCACTTTTCATCTATTAATAAATTTCTGAAGAATCCTGAATACCTAAATGCTAAAGTTATTAAAGGCGCTACTTTGAAATACCTTCGCATATTTAAAATTATTCTGAGATTAAGATTGTAATCTTGTCAAAATTCCGATCTCAAACACAACCTGCCAAGTTTATTAGAATTCTATTGATGTACTCGCAAAGTTATCGTAATTATTTCGTCAAAATCTTATATTATTATTTTTTAACAGAGCATTTAATTAAACTCAATTTATGTTATGATATTGAAGTATGGATCAATTAGATATTTGCTTTGTACTTTGCTAAGATAATGAGAAACGATAAATGTTAGTAAAAGACTAAGCTGGCTTGAAGCCATATTATATTGAGTAGCTGATAAACTGATCAATTTGAACAAAATAGTAGTTAATATGAAGGCGACATGTTTATAGGCGTCCATATATCACTGAGCTTTATCTCCACACTAATGTATCAGAGTGTGTATATAAATGTTATTGTTGCCGGCAGTGTGTTCTCCCACGTACAGACCTAAGCATTTATTGTGCCTAGAGCAAATTTGCTTGCGGGACGCAATATCCAAGTGAACGGGCCCTGGGGTGCTATCTTGTTTTATTTGTGCGCTAGAGCCGATAATGAACGTTTTTTCTCCGTATCTATTCTGGGCATTCAATATACTAAAGGTGTAATAAAGTGTAACATATTAGTAGACCTCCCCTTCCTCTTGCCACCAGAGTTTTATTGTTACATTAAGTTATCAAATCGTAGTTATCTAGGGAACATGATTAAAATGAATCTTAACATTATTCGCTTAAGGTTTAAAATAGTTTAAAATAAGTATAGGTAAATAAAAATAATAGTTGTACCTGATGGGCAGTAAAATGGGTATGTTTTATGAGTTTACCCATTTTGTAGCTAGTATGTTATCGATATCGTCATGTAACTATGCCTATGTTGGCCATATTATGAATAATATCTGTACCTAATCCGTTTACGATAGAATTTTACGATGTTACAACCAAAAACACATTGTTACGAACTATGTTCTACTAGTCGCTAAGGAGAAACTTCTTGAGAGGAGTAAATGGAAATCTGTTTCGCATACAAGTGAAATCTCATTTGTCATACGAAGATTTATGACAGACGTTGCGGGAAGTTAGGGGCTCGAAAATGCAATTTGATCTAATTTATGTATTTTGAACGTATAGAGCGATTTACATATTAACGACTTATATCATAAAAAATATGCCTGAAATAGAACTGTGAAGAAAGTGTTAATATTCTGATGTCTATTTTTAAAATACTTTCATTACATTAAAGTACACAGTGTAAGTGTCCTATATACGAAGGTTAATTAAAATAATTGGCACCGTACACTCATAATGTAACCTAATTGAATTTTATTGGGCGGAACGTTTCGTGAAAACTGAATCTTCTACCATCCCGCTTCTTATAAAGACATATGTATGTACATATAATAATATGCTGAACACTGCCGTCATTTTATTTAAGTTTAAGTATAGAATTTGGAACACAGATCAAAATATCAATTTTAACGGACAATTCCATTCAAATTGTCAGATAATTTTACAATGTAAAGAATTCGAATAATCGTCCTGTTCCTCTGGTAAATAGATATTTCATAAAATTCTTCGTAGCTGCCTGATATTTAAAAGGGTACCTGTTTATAACTTATTATGTGACGGGCTCCTTCAAATACCTCTATACATTTTATACATTTCCAGATAACAAACTCAAGACAAAGTTTAAACTCCGCATAATAATGAGTGGATTTGTCTCAATGTATTTCTTCAAAATGAACGAATTGTTTAAGACACAAGGAGGTACGTAACTGTTCCCTTTAGAAGCTACAAAAGATGATCTTTATCGTTTTATGGGTTCAAGGAGTGGGGTGAACCTCGGGGGAGAATTTATGCCAGAATATTACCCCTCCTTAGAGACTCTAAAAGAAAGTTTTAAATGCTTTATGCCTGTACTTACATACGATGTTGTGGATGTTAAATTCTGTATTTTTACATCGTGAACCGTCATTCACGTTTGCCAATGTCTGCGGGCGACTGTTTTATCGCTCAGGAAGAATGCTATTGTGTTCCACATGACAGAAAGGCGAGCATACCCCATTGTTTTTTTATCGGACGACAATTGACTCTATTCGCCCGTAGTCAGTACACAATTTGTCGAAGCTTGCTTGATATTGTATTGTAGACGTGACGATTGTCAATTTTATTATGTTTGCTTTTGTGTATTTTATTTTTATTGTGTCTTCTTTTTAACGTTTATATTATGAAAAAAAAATGCAGTTTATAGTGTGATGGAGTCACGAGAGAAGTCTTACCTATTGAGCCAAGTGAGTTAGAGTAAGTTCAGAGCAAAGGAAATGTATAGAAATAAAACTTTATTTTTTGGATGAGGGGAATCATTAAATGATTTCTCTCTCTTCCTCAGAGAAGCGAGAGAGAGAGTATCAGACTTTTACTGACTAAAACCATCCTATTGTTTCTTCGGCTGGGGGCGCGGTATATTATAACGCTGGCACCCGCAACCTCAGGGATACCTCGAGCTGTTATGCAGAAGGCTATTGCTAACAGACAGACTTATTTTACATACTCGTGTACAGCTTACTATCTTAAGTTTGCTTCAAACCTGTTATAAATGAGCAGATGGATTACCTAGTTGATGGCGAGCAGTCAGCGCCGTCGATGGACACACATAAAACCAGAAGAGTTAAGAGTGCGTTGCCAACATTTTTGGGATTAGGATTATTGAGATTTAAGAATATGGGAGGGTTGGGGAAATGTTAAGATTGAGCCTCCAATAACCTCACTTACACAACGAAACACAATGCTGTGATTGTTTCACGCCAGTTTTCTGTAAGGCCGTGGTATCACTCTGGTCCAGTCGACCCATTCGTGCCGAAACAAGCCTTTCTGCACTTTAAAAACTATGCAGTACACTACAATTAATAATAAACGCAGCTATGTTCGATTAGTTTAGTATTCGCTGGCCAGTATCCAGTGTCTCATAGCTGCAGTTAAGTTAACGTTGTCCCCTGTTGAATTAATAGTGGGCAAATACTAATTGCATACTTCATACCCGTTGGTATAATTGGTTCATATCTGGAATAACTATGTCACATATCTCTAACAAGTACTCGATATATTTATACCTAATTACAAAAATAGACTAAATACAAAATTATAAAACAAAAGAAAACTAAAAGAAAATAAGAAGTAGATCAATGAGTTTTATTATATTAACTTTGATTGTCATTCTGTCAATATGACTCTTTGGTCAAGGGACTGTCATTCTTAAGTTCAAAGTATGTAAGTAGACTAGCCTAAATAACTCGAGGATCTTTAAATAGCTGTATCTATACTAATAATTTAAAGAGGTAAAATTTGTAAGTTTGTACGTGTGTAAGTTTGTATGTAGGGGGTAATCTTTGGAACCGCTAGTCGGATTGCCAAAATTCTTTCACTGATAGATAGGTACAATGTTCCTGTGTGCTATAGGCTATAAAACATCACGCTACGATCAAATGGAGCTGAGCAGCGGGTCAAACCGGCGAAAGTAGCTAGTTAGTTATATATAGAATAGTGTGGTTACCTTCATAAAGATAAAGCTTGATATTTATACTTTGTGATAAAAACAGATAAATAAATACAAGACGACATCTAATAACATGTTTTAATGGAATATTTTTCTGCGATGTTGGTTACATTTATTGAACACAAATTAAAGAAACCAGTACAGTTGGAGGGCACGCACAGAAAATATCTACGACCTACGCGGAATTCGAAATTAGTGTCCGTGACGTAACGGCCAGTCCTACTGGGCGAAGTAACCGTCATGTAATGTATTTATCCGGACAACAAGCATTGCCAAGCAACTTTAAATAAATTATTTTTATAAAATGAACAATCTATTTAAGTTAGTATTTAATATTTCTGCTTTTTTAGAGTTTTATTTCTTGGGACAGTGAAAAATATTTTTAATTATTAAAAAAGTCGTGTGTAGTTTGCCATCACTCCATGAGCGCTCAGTCAACAGTATTATGAAAATGAATGATTGGTCAAGAGGTTCGACCAATGAGGTCGATATGAATGAGTCCCCTCGAGGCACGGAGGAGTCTCGAGATGGGGAAAGGTCATCAAAACGCAAAACAACCTCTGCTAGCGTAGCTTACCTAGTCCATAATGATTATATATTAGTTGGTTTATATTGCCTTACCTAAGCCATAACTTCTTTTACTGTTTTTGTATACCTGTGCAGAGACATAAAGATCAAGTAAATATTTAACCGAATCACTGTCAAATATAAATAGTAAATATTAACGTTGTGAATGCTAGTATTTTATTCACGAACAGTTCGTTGCCTTGGCTGGCTTGTAAAGCAAATGTCACGAACAACCATGCATAAAATCCATTGTAGCGTAGTACAAAGGAAATAATATTTTATCACGTTTGCCCAGTTTTTACTTTTTAAAACTTCAATCCATGCATTCATATCAGCACGTTCGTCTCGCCGAGGGGATTCAAAGCCCGGTTGAAGCATAGCTGCCGTTATACCTATATTTCTTACACCTTTAAAGTTATATTATAAAGGGGTTTGTAGTATTAAAGAAGGATTTTTATAGCTGGAAGCTTTTGCGACATGGGACGTGTTAGCATGTATTACAGTATACTGCGGATTAGAACTGCGCGGGCATCACGTATCACTTTATTTTTTCCGAATACACGCTCCAGATGTTAAGATTTCAAGCGTTGAATGCGACAAAATTGAAAAGCGTGGACTGAAGTGAAGTGGAATTAGTTTGTTTTTTTTATCGCGTACCTTTCTGTATGAATTATATTTATTTTTTGTAGCGTAGAACATGATTGAATGGTGTTATTGAACCGATTTGGACAATGAATTGCTAAGTAAACTATTTTGCTCTTATGGGATTGGGTGGCAAATAAATAGACGGATGGTAAACAAGGAATGGTTTTCATAACTATACGCAACAACAGCAGAATTAGCACCTGTTTATGGGTTGTTAGGGATTTAAGACCCCAATCCTTGGAGATAGGGACTTGAAGTGGGACAAACCGATCTTTTCGTTTCGACGCATGGCTCTATCACATACCAATCGCATCCTCATTGGTGATATAAGATAAATACAGGTGGAATCACATTCTGTAAGTTAACTAGTTATTATTGTACTACGCCCGTGTTCGCCCGCATGGTACATATGTTAATGAAAGACTATGTGTCAATCTAGAGTATCAATTGTCAAAATACCAAATTTCAGCCAAATCGGTCCAGGCGTTTTTGCGTGAAAAAGTAACAATAATTCATCCTTAAAAACTTTCAAATTTATAATATTGAAAGGATTGGTGATACTTACGTTTTATAGAACAGAACATTTGTAATAAGTAATATTGTACCAATGTAAGTATTAAACCTAAAACGACAACGGCAATTGAGATTACGACCACTAAAGAAAACAGTAGAAAAATATATAAAAGTAGTAGGTATCTTTGATCTGATAGCACACATTCGCTTTTTAGTCACGAATCAAATAAAAATTTTAAATTCATACGCTTCACATGTAAAGTGTGAAAACGTTGATATAAGGGGATTTTTCAAGCACAACCTTTACACATATACATAGGTAGGTAGGTATGTAATGAAAAAAATGAACAATACCTTTGTTATGTTAGAACCTTTTTAAATTAAATGTTATTTTAAAAGCTTAAGTTAGAGAGTATTTTCGTGTGTGCTAAAAGCGTAACTAATTGAATTTACATTGTTAAGTTCTAGTAGATAAATATGTACTTATATTCTTATATATTTAGGCCTATTAATAGATATACCTATTTAGTTTTATCTTTAGTCTATTATTAGATATAGCTCATTCAATTTCGAGGTAAGATTAGTTTATTATTATCCTGTTAGATCCATGGACCGAATTATAAGTAAGTTGTTAAGAACCTTCAGTCTGTGTTCATCCTAATTAGGTTTCTACTTGATAACTAATGAAATTATATAGAATTGACAAAATCGACAGCTACCTATGAATTTTGTAGTAGTGACATCTTGTTCTTTTGAGTCAAAATAACATACTACTGCTTTCAAAAACGAACGAATGTGTGTGTGACAGAAAAGGAATGCTCGGAAAACTCAGATGACGCATAACTATGAGAAGGGAAAGTGCAATGCTACGCTGAAGGGGAGAATAAATTAATAATATTTATATTTAAGATATATAAATTATTAAATCTTGATAGTGTGAAGATGTATTTTAAGTAGTAGTACGAAGTCTTTATTCAAAACTTAATTATTTATATTCAAATTAATCTTAAAAAATATATAGTAATGTGACAAATCAAAAACTTGCTTATAAAAATAGATTTGGACATGCACATCGGATGACCAGCCGCATATGGTACAATACTATACTATTTTTGGTCATCCAATCTACATAATGTAATAATAACTACAGTGAACCATAATAGAATCTTAGAAGAATAGATTTTATTTCATAGATTGTTACCGGTTAATCTAATAAAAAAAAAACGCATTTAAAACACACGGAAAATGCTTCCACGACGTCGGTACAATAACCGCAGCTTCATAGTAATAAAAAGCCAAAGGAAAAATCTAAAGTATTAATAGAATATTCAATTTACAATCAGAACACTGAATTTCATTTAAAACTTACGATGAAATGATAAGTTTTGTAAAAATAGTTTTCATTCTTTGAATTTTTGCGTTCTGTTTCAATTCATTATGCATAAGTTTTTAACATTTTTTCTTAACCAAAGTTGTTAAAGTACAGAACAAAATCTGTATATTACTATAAAAATAAAGATATGGAAAAAGTGTCGAAAATAAAAAGATAAATAAACAATTTGTCACTTTGCACTGGCTGATCTGCGGAACTAAAGAAGAGATTTTGATAAAACTTTTTTGTTGCATAGCTAATAAGGCTTGGCTTTAATACATATATTACATACACAGGGTTCAACATGTTCTGGATATTAAAGAAATCCACTTAAGGGTACTGCTCTAAGCGAAGGCTAAGTTGTCAAGCTACTGTACCAACGGTGCAAATTAAGGATGACCTCTTTGGATATTAAAGCCTAATGGGTATGTTTGCGAATGAAAAATCTATATATACCTTATAAGTACCCGACGGAACAAAAACATATGTACTGAATAGGTAAAAAATATACAAAATATAAAATCTCAGTAATTAGTACCTTCTCTTGTTGGAAACATTACGAATAGAATCAATGAATGTCTTTTAATTTGTTTAATATACAAATTATCTCACTACGTCTTTCTATGTGTTAACTTGAAATTATAATTCTACGACTACTTAATGAATAGGATGTCTAGATTTTGCTAATTACGTTCAAATAAGCTTAACATAGTTAAACAGTATGTTGGTTAGTCAGTTATTTATGTGTGTATGTATGTATGTATGTAACCGTAGGCTTATGGTAACTGTTACAGTTTATAGATCGATAAAGACGAAAGACACTTAAGTATTCGTTTAATAGCTAATTTATGTAATTAGCTAATTAGTTATTTTTTCATTCCTTATTCTTTCCTATTCTAAAGACTAAATTCTTAAGAGTGTCAATTCTGAATTGCTAAATAAAGTTAGTTTTTTATTACCTCACTTTACTTTTATAAGTACCACAACTTTTAAGGAGTACCAATCCATACTTTCCACCCCCAAATCCCCAAATCTGAAACCACTATAAGAATAACCTTTTATGTTGAAGTTGTGTATGCTTACCAGCAGGTAACTCGTATGTATGCTCATTGTCATCCTTTATGCGATAAACACTGCTTAAGTTTAAGCTTAAAGTAATAAACATTTTGTGTGTAATTTATAAATTATAGATATGGCTAGAAATCACGACTGGTTTCTAGCCATATCTATAATTTATAAATTTATAAATTTATAACCCGACGGTTAGCTTGTCGAAAGATCGATTTAGTGTGTAAGCCAAATTAATAAAAAATACCTATGTATGCTTCTTTTTGTACTGCCGGCTATTTAAACAAACCAGATTTCATTAACGTGTTCAAAAGATAAAACAAAAGCCAGTCAGATTATTATCAAGTAACGGAACGCAGGCACAATGTGAAAAGATGTTCTCATTCTATCCACATACATATAAGATTGAGTTTGTAAAACATTTTGTGGTAATATCGTGTTCAACTATTGTTTTTCATTGTGAATAGCTCATCTGTACATCGCATAGTTGATAACTACCAGTTCCGAGGCTCGAAGATATTTATACTCGTTGACGTCTATTTGTGAGACATGCTGGTAGTGCTTACCAGGAAAACCTTTTATGCAGATTTCTTTGTTAAAGAGACAAAAGAGAAAATTATTCATTAGGTATTTATATTCTGCGACGTCGCTTTGTTTGGCAGCCTCTATAAATATGGTATTCTAGCTTACCATTAAGGCATTGTCGATATTACGTAATCAAAACGATTCTTCAATCGTCAGTTCAAATTAAAAGGCACGTTTTCGCCCTTGATGCGTTTAGAGTGATCACGCACATTAGTCATTTTTCGTTTCTTTACGATCACCTCTCATATTACGTAAAACAATCAAGCTTTCTGTTCGGGCGTTTTTAAACCAACAAACTAATAAAAATGGTATCATTTGCGTATAACACCGTTCTACAAGACTTTTCCATTTGTTTAAAAGAAGTTTATGAGTACTGAATTTTATTAACAAGTCCTCATTAAGCCTAGACATGAATGCAAACAATAAAACCGTCTAGCCGCATTTCGACGTAGTGGCATTTTATCTAAAAGATTGTCTGGAACCTACATTTTTAATGTCAATGTTTACGTTGTATCATATTACCCTGAATAATAAATGAGACCGGGTCCTTTTAAAGTTCGAACATAAAAAAGCTATTGCCGATAAATCACGATATTGTGTAAAACCTCACTTAATCTTAATTTGGGGCGATGCCTTTGAATGGGCGTTATGCAACGCGACTTATTTGTGCCGTGACTTAGTTGTGAATAGCATCGACAGGCAATATTTTCTCCTTACAACGAGCTCGGTACAAGACAACGCTTTCAGGCAATGACTTGTGCCGTGGGGGCCGATATAAATATTTGCGTATCGCATCGCCGCCTGGCGGCTGCCGGCTGCCGCTGGCGTGCCGAGCGTGGCGCCCGCGCCCGCTCCCTGCCCGCTGCTCCAAACGTGGCTCGTCACGCGACCACTACTGCCTCAATGTAAGAAGTTTATTCCACTTTAAATATCCTACGTGAATCAATATGTTCCACAAATTAACCTTTCTTATTGCGTACCGTCTGGCACTACTACTACTACTGTCAAACGAAATGTGAAAACTTATCCGCACCCAAGAGAGAAGTTACTATGAATTATCTCGGCCACGGTACACTAAAAACTTACTAGTAATGTTTTTAAATTGAGATATATCGCAGTAGTATTAAGTGTAAAGATTTAACGACAGAATAAAGTTTTTATTGCCTTTAAATAAACGATTATTCCCACACAACAAATAGCTTTAGTACTACGCCTTAACGTTAACAGCTTACGCAAAGGAAATTACAAACGTAATAAATGTACTTACAAGAATTAATTAACAAAATTAAGTAAGTTAGTGTTACTCAGGTAAATTATTATGACTACGTAATCAAATTGAGTTAAAGGGAGTGAAAACTTTGGAGATAAGAAGTGTTGCAAAGAAGATTATTTAAAATATTGAGTAAGTAACAAATTTTCGAACGATCGGCGTGATTCGATAACTTTTCGCCGAAGTTAGCTGTAAGTTTGTAGAAGTTTCCAGCCGTGTTTCTGAACCTTATCGTCCGTGGAAGTAACAAGCCGAGATAAATGAAGTTTAGTTGCTCTTAATTTAATGGCTGGCCGGAAGTTTGGACGACGTGACCGGCAGGGTGGGAGCCTCTTTCCTACCAATTATTCGACTAATTAATAAGACATTGTATTGATAGGATTGTCGGCCCTTCATAACTCGGGAACTTTATTCACCAAATTCACTGTAACAATTAGGTTAGAACAAACTAAGAGTGACTTATCGCATGAAAATAGCCGAAACAAACAAGACGTTGTTTGTTGAAGAATAATATGGAGTCTCAATTAAAGTGGTTTTCTAGTGGTAGATCGAAGTAACTACAGTGAATGTCTTTCAAGTCTTTCGAACAACGCAACTGAGCAAATGGCGAACGATTTAAACGCTTTCTTAAAGGATTTATCGGAGATGACACAAGAACAAGGGGTGCGGAGAAACTGGGGAGGCAAAGTCCTACTGGGGTAGGACAGGCTACAGCGAGGAACAAAGATTTATAGAGGGACAAATTGTAACAGAATCACTGCTACAGTTATATTCCTAATTAGTTTATCAGTTATAAATTAAACATTACTTGCTGCTTTTTTATTTAGAAGTGATTAAGGTTAGTTCAGGCATTTATCGATATACATGAGAAAAGTTATTTTAGGGTAGCAGTAATAGATCTTAGTAATAGATGAAGTCTTATATTAAAGTCAGACGTCTCCGTAATAGGTGCAGCAAAAACCTTAGTAGAATTGTATAATGAGTTATTTGCGTCTAAATAAAATAAAGATAATAATGTTATCTTTATATTCTGCAGTGAGCATATTGTAAATTAAAGATTATGTCAATATTAAAATAAAAAAATATACATACAAATGTATCAGTTAAGTGTATGAAATTGAACTATTTTACTAATAACTAATGAAACATTGAAATATGTAGTTTTACTATAATTTACGTTGAATTCCAAATCAAAACTGAGCTATAATGCAAATACGAATTTAACATTAATGTTGGTCCGGACGTGAATACTAAAATGTAATCAACGCGATTGAATACTCCTGCTTAACGCTAAACGTATTTTATTGAAACTAATAATTTAATAATTTATTTAAATGTTATGAAGCTGTATAGTTTTTGTTTGTTTGAATGTACTAATCGTCATATATTTTATACTGGTAGGTATTGTAAGCAAAGCCAAACATTTTGTCTCTGTGTTTGATTAGTGTAATTGGCAACGTTAAAGATTTAGGCAAAAGTATTTGTTTTGGTATAGAATAGAAAACAATTAGATGTTACAAATAAGTATTAGAGATGTGAAAACGAATGTTGTTGTGTCGGAATATAAAATCTTAGGAAGTATTGTAACGTATCTACACGATGTCTCGTACGCTTGGGTATCATGCACCTAAATAAGTTTCCATTTTATTTTATTACAAATGTACGAACTTCACTCTACGGGTTAGATACAAGTTAATATTATCTCATGCCTCTCTTAAGTACAACTCAATAGTCCATTGCTCAACAGATCACGCACACAAACCAGAATCAAAATTTTGTTGTGTTTCCCCAATCCTTCCCCACCAACCTTATTCCTCAAATCCTTTATCCTTAAATCCCTAGCAACCCACAAGTGGAACGTACTTTTGTAACTCCTTTAGTATTGCGAGTGTCCATAGGCGGCGTTGATTGCTTACCACCAGGTAATACATCTGCTCGTTTGCCGATCTACGACATAAAAAAACCAATCGAGAAACAAACGCAATAAATAAACGACGGCCAACCTAATTATTATTAACATGTCACCGACAATATTTTCAAACAAACATTATTTTTTATAAACTCCGACCGGCCTTGTCGCCCGGGGAATTCAACCACTTAAACGTCATTTTAATAATTCACAGGCACACGTCTATCAATTACCCTGGAGGAAAGTTTAAGCGTAAATTCAACCCTATCGTGGGTTTATAATAAAAAGGGAGAAACTAGGAAAATTAACTGAATAATAAATGCTCGGCCCCTGATTATGTTCACACGACAGTCCAGAGCCTCGGGGGCATTTAACCTTTATTCGTATCTCCCGTACGTACGGTCTTGTGCGTTGTGCTTCATGACGCTAAGCCGGCTTTCACCTTCGGTTATAAAGTAAACACCAAACTAGTTACCTGTGTTCAATTTTCGGTCAAAGAAAACCCCAAAATATTTTTTCGTTTGCTAATTTTGTTGTTCATTTCTGTAGAGCTTTTTTTTGCAATGGGCAAATATTAAAAATGCCGTCTTTTGTGATGTTTTTGTTTATTTTAAGTTGTCAATATTTTAGATTTAGGTCTTTTCTATTAATTTCTTTAGGGTATGTTTCTCTTAAATCTTCTTGGAGGGGTGATTCTATGTCTAGACTCTACAACATCTATTTCAATAATTGCCCAAGAAGCTTATTTTAGAGAGCGCTTTTTTTAGTTGTATCGTCCTGCTTATGTTCACAGTTGAGTGCCTCGGCTTTGGGGGAATTTAACCTTTATTTGTATGTCTCGTATGTCCGCTGTTCTGCGTTGCAGTTTATACCGCTAAGCCGGCTCTCACCGGCGTCTAGCTGTTGTCACTTTCCTTCATTTATTCAGTAAACACTAAACATTAAAACATTTGTTTAGTGAGAATGATAAAACTGAAATCTTCTTACTATTGTCTTAAAGATCCCTTTTTTATTAAATATTTGCTTTTAATTTACGCCAACTGAAGACGACTTATTGGTTAGTGATTTTTTTTTCTTTTACCACCTCTGTGAATAAAGAGTTTAATTTGCATTTTCGACGCTTCCGTACCTCATAACCTGCTTCGCATATTATTTCATTATTCGCCAAAATTGTTAGTTTCAAGTGCACGTACGTAATTGATTTACGAGAACGTTTTATTTAATTTTTCCGAGAATGATTGATATAAAATTTAAATCCATATTTTGCTTTAACATACCCATCACGATTCTGTGGAAGTAATTTGTAATTGACCGACAGGCTTCACATTATTCG